ATATATGATTCATGTTGATTCAGATTTACTTTTGTTAGGATGCTACAATAGTTGTGTAAAGCTTCTTCTGCTTCTCCATCAGATCTTTTACGAAGTTTAGGTTATATCTCTATTTAATTTATAAAATCTGTTTTATTTGCAGTTAACTATTTGATAATTTTTTTTAAACATGTAAGTTAATGTGGAGTCTTCATATTATTTTTCATTGTTTTTACCTTTTGTGTGTTTTATTCATGTTTTAATTTGAAGAGTTTATATAGATATATTCCAATTTGAATTTGATTCATAACATTGTCATACATTATTATTTAAATAAAATTTTAGAAAGTGTTACTCATGTGCTGTTCATGTTGGCTAAGTTATAAGTAGTAGCTATGTATAAAAAATCAGAATTTTTTACTTGTTATATTTCGAATGTAGAGTTATTTGTGTTGTATTTTTTTGTTAATTTTTAAATCAGACGTGGCCAAAGTATTAGTCTTTGTAAATTTAAATAATATATTTGATTTAGAAACTCGTATAACATACTGTAATTTTATATGATTATTCATAGTGAATACCAATATTTTAGAAATCATAAATTTTCTGGAAATTTCAAACTAATTTTCTTTTTAGATTTTGTTTGTTTGTTATTTTACATAATTTTTTCATGTTTGATATACTTAAAACATATATATTTTTAATTAAGCTATTTTGTTATTGATTTTCCAAATAGGTAGCATATATATTAATTTAATCTTTTTTACATAAGCGTTTTTTGTTAAATTTTAATTTTAATTATAATGTTGTTTTGACATGCTATAACTCGATATTCTAAATTTTATGTGGACTTATCTCAAAAGCTTATACCATCATTGTTTTTTTAGTTCATATTTTTATGTTGATTTTCTAAAACATTAGTCTAAATATCAAACTAATTTTACTTTATACATATTTTGCCTTTGATAATTTACCTCTCTTGATACTGATTTCTATTTTATTTTAACACAAAATATTGACATTTTTGAAGATATAATTTTATTTTTCGTTATTTTACTAGTTAAATTTTGTTTATATTGATTTTTTAAGTAGTTAGTCATATATCAAGTCAATTTCTTTTTAGATGAATTTCTTAAATATAAAATTTTGTAAAAATTAATTTTCATTTTATTTATTGATTAATTAATTTCTTAATACTGAGTTTTAATTAAGTAGCTTAAAATACTTATATTTTTTTGTTAGTTAAGTTTTTTAGTATGACTTAAGTTTTTTTATTCTCTTACTAATTTTCTTTATATTGATTTTGCTAAATAAATAGCATAGATATCAACTTAGTTTCCTTTTTCTCTTTGTTAATTTAACCTTTTTGATATGAATTTTCATTTTAATTGTATTGACATGGTGTAAGAAATAATTTTTGTTTTTTTTTTGTTAGTTAAATGTTTTTATCTTCAGTAAATAGTATAAAATATTATTTTTTGGTTAGTTAAGCATTTTGTGTTGATTTTCTAAATAATTAGTCTATATATCAAATGTTTTTTTTGTTAATTTAACATGAATTTATTTTTGTAGTATTGATATTTTAAATAATAATTTTATATGTTTATATAACAATTTAACTTTAATATTTTTGTTAAACTAATTACTCATTTAAAATACATATGATAATTTATATTAACTTCCCATTATACTATGATAATTTATATTTTTGTGTTTTTAATTTATTTAAATTGTTAATCATATTTAATATTTTTTATGTTTAATAAAAAACCGTTGATATTGACCAATCAAATTGAGTTTATATGTTCTATGTGGACGCTTTCATCAATATAAAACATCAACATGGACCATAACTAATATATTTTAAGTTAGTAGTTCAGATTATAATTGTTTATCATAATTAAAATTTTGAAAGAGTTTAATGATGGTCTTAAATAGATTTTTTAATTATTTGTTTCATATATATGATTTTTCCTTAATAATTTATTTACATGTTATATTATTTTTTGTTGTAAATAGAAAAATAAATCTACTTTCTAACTTTTTTTATTAGTAACTAATTTAAAATTTAGAAAATTTGCTAATAACAACAAAAACAAAATTAATTAAAAATTGGAAATTTTCTTTTTAAAAATAAAAAACGAAATTAATTAATTTAATATACAATATATAATTAACTAAAGGAAATTAATTAAAAATTGGAAATTTTCCTTTTAAAAATAAAAAATGAAATTAACTAATTTAATATACAATAATTAACTAAAGATCATGATGATGTGTACCAATATAATTGAATCTTTAAATCCTATGTAGACACCCTTAGAGGCATTTAGCATCAACTTTTATTAGTAATAGATAGATTGATTTTTTCATATTTTCCCTTTATAATTTACAAAGTTATAGTGTTTTAATGTGGATTTCGTTTTAACCAATTGTTTGTATGTACTTGCTTCGTAGTGTAAACACAATGTCTTCATTCTTCAACCACAAAGATTATAGAAACATCATACACTAGTTTTCACGCAATAACTCTGTATTTTAGTTATGCTCATTTTTATTTTAATCTGTTCTCAAAGACCATTGGCATATGATTCTGATTCATATGCGCAATGTATGTTGTTTTTCCCGCCGCATAAGCTGAGAAGAGTTGGAGAAGCAAGAAATAGAGAAGAGGAAGAAAGATGATGAGAAGAGAGAAATTTTCTGTTTCTCGAAAAGACAGAGAAGAGGAAGAAACTAATTTTCATACAATAATAATCTACTGATGATATAATTTAATCCAAATATATTTGATATGTTTTTCCCCCTAACATGATTAACTGTTATGTTTTTATCGAGAATTTAAAAAAATCAAAAACTCAAATTGGGTCAAACATAAAGAAACTAACAACGGAATGGCATTGAGATTTAATTTTAAAAAAAATAATTTAGCGAAATGTTAGAGACTGGCTACTCCATATAGAAATGAGTCCATACATTAGGAAGGAAATCTATGCTATTTATACAGATTTGAAAATTGAAATCATTCAAAAAGTTGTTGTTTTCATATAGAGACGGGCCACATGTTTCCAAAAATCCTCAAGAAGAACAATTGTAAATATTGGTGAATTGGCTTTTTCTTTCTGTACTTTATATAAATTTATTTATAATATTCATCTTATGTCAAAGTTAGTAATTTATATAATTACAACACATGAGGAACATATTACAAAAAAAAGAAATCCTAGATTTTAATAATATAACATTGGATGATGATGAATTTTGAGAAGAAGAACCGAAACACAGGAGAACGTTCTTTTGCTGATATTATTACCAGTATTCGATATTGGGTCATTCATAGCATTACTATACCTTTCCTATTTATTGCAGGCTGGTTATTTGTCAGCACCGGTTTAGCTTACGATGTGTTTCGGAGCCTTTGTTCACTTTGTTCTCTCTCTCCTTTATTTAGAGGAAATCGTAAGAAAAGTAAAATCCTCATTCAGTTTGAAATATCGTTAAGAGAAGAGATCTCTATGCCACATTCATGCGTGAGGGTACTCCTAATGGGTTGAAGACCATATCCACGGGTCTCCCGTCTTGCAAATAAGGCATATCCTGTCTAGGCTACGGAAATCATGTAGAAAAGTTTTTGATGAAAGTCTTGAAAAACATAACTTCTCTAGAAAACAGAGAGTATATACAAAAGATAAATGTGAAAAAGATATAAAAACTTTGTTTGTTTAAAAAGAATTAACATATTTGAAGGATGCAAATTGCATATCTAAGTTTTTAAAGCATAGAAACAGAAAAAATAGTAGTTTATAAAGTATTAATGTACAAGAGAAGTAAGGTTAGCGTTGCTTAAGACTCACAACAGATTTTGTGTTTTGAATATTTTAATTAAAAATAAACAAAAATTAAAATAAATAATTTTTAAATTTTAATTTTATGTTTTTGATTTACCTTTTTAATTAGTAATCAATTTTATTTTCTACTTTCAAAAAAAATATTTTAAGAAATTGTAATTGGTGGTAATAATTCGTTATTAGTACATTAACTAATTCAAATTTTGATTATTTTAAGTTAACAACCATTTGATTGAAGTTTCAAAATATATAACATAAATCAAAATATATGTTATATTTTTAAATATATATATATATTACTCTTTTCGTTTTATAAAATATGTCACTTTGACATATTTCACATAAATTAAAAAAATTATTAAAAATACTATTTTATCATTTGTTCACACACAAAATAATATTTTCTTTTAATTAAAATAATAAATACAAATATTAAAATTAGATATTTATTTAAAGTTATTTATTAAAAATGTAAAGTGACACTTTTGTAAAACAAAAATAAATTTGTAAAATAACACTTTTGTGAAATAAATAGAGTATCATTAAGAAAAGAAAAAAAAGTTATTCTCTACAAATTATGTCCTTTTAACGAAGATTTAAGTTTTTAGACAACATGCGGTAATTGATTAAGTTATTAATGCTAATAAAATCATTGTTAAGTTTCCTAATATGAAAAGTCAAAAGTCAAAAATAAGTTTCCAAATCAGGTACAAAAGTCGAAAATAAGTTTCCTAATATGAAAAGTCAAAAATCAAAATGATACGCAATTAGTAATTACTACCACTAGCAGTAATTCATTATTTCTTCTTTTATACTTTATTACTTTCTCTGTTTCATAATAAGTGTCATTTTGGAAAAATGTATCTGCATTATAATTTGATGTATTAACTTTAAAACACATCCAGATACATCAAATTATAATGCAAATATATTTTCCTAAAATGACATTTATTATAAAATAGAGGGAGTATCTTTTAGTCAATAACCATTTAATTAATTTAAGTTTTCTAATATGAAAAGTCAAAAGTCAAAAGTCAAAATGATACGCTATTAATAATTACTAATTACTACCACTAGCAGTAATTCATTCTTTCTTCTTTTGTACCTTATTCACTTTTAGTCAATAACCATTTAATTGATTTAAGTTTCGTAGCTGTCTATCTCAGTATCTCCTAATGGTGAAGAAAAAACATCATAACAAACGAAGAATAAGAAAATACTCAAAATGAATGGTTGTACGATCTTCTTTTTTATGTTTTTTTACCTTTTTTGTCGACGAATGGTGGTGGTTGTAGAATCCCTGTTATCAAATGTCAAGATTGCGACTGCACTGGTAAAATGTGTCAAAAATATTTTCCAGGTATTGTTCTCTCTTTCAATGTTTTTTCTTACTTTTTTGGCCTATAAAAATAATAAAGATTTTGCTTTTGTGTCATACAAGATAATGGGTCTGACTGGTATATCAGATGAATAACAGAATAGCGAAATAACTGAAAAATTATTAGCGGAATGAACTGAACTGAATAATATTTTAGCTGAATAATTGTGAAACGCTTAAAAGCTACTTTTAGTAGATTAATCACGTTTTGTTTTTTTAGTTATATTTTTAACACGCTAGCGGAATCACATTTCAAAAACATAAAAAAACGTGAAAACGTGAAAACGTGATGAATAACATGAATGGTAAAAAATAACAGAATCAAGTTTCCAAAACGTGAAAACTGAAAAAGCTGCATACCATTCAAACCCAAAACTGTATTAAAATTTAGTTTAAAGGTTTGAATGATATGTAATTTTTCACATTTTAAAAATATGAGTTCTTAAAATTTTATTATTCATATTATTTTTCAGGTTCTTATGTTCTCATATTTTTCCATGTTTTTAAAATATGATTTCGTTCGCATACTAAAAATGTAATTTGAAAAAAAAAGCGTGATTAATTTTTCATATTCAGCAAAAAAAAAAATATTTAGTTTAGTACATCCCATTCACAATTTTTTCCAATTGTTAAACTACTATTCTGACATATCATTCAGACCTGAAGTCATTATTTTGTGTAATATGTTAATTCTCTTGGATCCGGTAACTACACTTGTAGTGTATCATTGCATTTGATGACATAGTTTAACCACATTCAGCCCCAGTCTAAACCAGGGCTTAGAGTCATCAATATTTTTTTTTTAAAGACTACAAATGGGTCACAAATAAAAAAAAAAATTTTTAAAATGAACCACATAATTTAAAAAACCAAATAAACTTTACATTTTCTTCTTTTATTACTTTGGACCACTGTTTTAATTGGACTAGACCACACTATATTGTGATGACTGTGTGTAGGATTGAAGGTGGTATGGCCAGAACTAAAAGGAGTAAGTGCAATTGAAGCAAAGAGAAAAGTAGAAAGTGATAATCCACATGTTACTGGGATTATAGTTCCGGATGACACTGCTGTGATATTCGTCAATTGTTGTAACCGTGTCCTTCTAAGCGTTTCCGCCAATAACTGTCCCAATGGTCCTGTCCTTAACATTCCTCAAATGGGATGATAATGTTGTGTAATACTTTTACATGTTTCAGTAACTTTTAATAAGTTGTTCTGGTTTTTCCTATAAAATAAATTAAAGCTAGTTTCGTTATATTGTCTTTTTCATCAATAAAAAACTTCTAAATAATTAGTATGAATGAGATATAAGAAAGACTTACGAATCTTTCTTATATAAAGTGTGAAAGCCTTGTGGAGTATCATTTAAACAGGATGACGCCAGGATTGAAGATGAGGCTACTAAATTTAGTTGTTATGAAGCTACTAAATTGCTGTGAAGTCAGTCCTTTTGTTACTGTTTGAAGACACAACACGGTTTGAAGACACAACGACAGCATGATGGAAGGAAGACAAGAGCAAGTACAGCATTCATCCGACGTGTCCTTGTTGCAAAGAGATGGGTCATCTGGAAAAGTCTTGCCCTAACGCAACCTGGTCTTCTAAAGATTCCTCCTAATCACCGTGTCAGTAAAGGAGCTCAGGCTGATGCTGTTCTTAAGTCTAACGGTGAGGCTAATGTTTGTACTGAAAAGTCAACAAATATTACCACAGATTTTCCACCAGTGGTCTCTAGTTACGCAGACAAGATTATGTCTCTCTGTATAGATGGTTCGTCTATTATCACTGGATTTTCTGATGTTTCTGATCTGGGTTTGTCACCTGTCACTGCCATTCTTGCTGCGGAAGGATCACTGCTTGCCCAAGGAGATCGAATCATAGAGAGTTTTGTCGATGCATCTAAATAGCGATTGTGGAAGCGATTGCATGCAATATTGGGTTTTCTTCCGAGTAACGGCTAACTAGCTTTGCCTTCTGTTAGTGAGAGTATATTAGTATATTCCATAGACTCGAGATAACTCCAAATATATTGTGATAAAGACTCGAATATATGTTTAGATATTCTTGTGTATAGGTGCGAGTCTATCTGTAAACACGTATATATAGTCGGCGAAGGAGATCAATACAGAAACCTTTTCCCAATACCTTATTCTCTAAGTTTACATGGTATCAGAGCCTCTCTAAAGATCCATTTTCAAACTTAGAGTAAAGGAAAAGCTTCACTCAAAAGAACATGAGTCTTACAAAACCAGAATCCTCCGTGGGCACAGTAAGTGCAGATAGTGGGATGATCTCGCCGTTTTATCTGTCTCACTCAGATAATCCTGGTGTGTCGATTACTCCAGTCATGTTGACAGGAGAAAATTATGCCGAATGGGCATCGGAGTTGGAAAACGTGCTACGTGCCAAGCGTAAAACTGGGTTTATTGATGGAACCTTGTTAATGCCGGATGAAGCAACGAAGCCAGTGGAGGTGGAGATGTGGAAGACGGTTAACTCCCTGATTGTCGGTTGGATTCGAGCCTCAATCTCCCCAGCTATTCGATCAACAGTCACCTTCACACCAGATGCATACAAGATGTGGACAGATTTGAAAAAGCGTTTCTCGATCGGAAATGCAGTGCGTGTTCATCAGTTAAAAGCAGAACTGGCGGCATGTAGACAAGACAGAGGCAGCGTGATGGATTATTTTGGACGGTTGTCTCTCAAGTGGGAAGAGATTCTGAGCTACAAGCCTCTTCTCAAGTGCACCTGCGGAGCAGCTGACCAAATCAGGACCGAGTATGAAGAAGAGAAAGTGCATCAGTTTCTGATGGGACTTGATGATGCTCGCTTTGGGAATGTGTGCACACACATAATTGGTTTGGATCCGTTGCCAGAGTTAAACTCTGTGTACCAGAGAGTTGTGAGAGAAGAGCGTCGTATTACCTCCTCTTGAGTTGAGCTGCGTCAAGATGCGGTGGGATTTGTAACAAGAATATCTAAACATATATTCGAGTCTTTATCACAATATATTTGGAGCTGTATCACGCTCTCGTGCAACATCAGCGTGTACTCATTGTGGGAGAAACGGGCATGAAAGAAAAGACTGTTGGCAGTTGATTGGTTTCCCTGATTGGTACACAGAACAAGCACAAAACAGAGGAGCTTCAGGACGAGGCAGAGGTCGTGGAAAAGGAGGGCAAGCTCGCTCCAATGCAGTACAGGCTTCAGGAAATCAGAACGCGGGAGCTCTTTCGTTCAGTCCTGAGCAGTGGGCTTCATTGACAGCTCTTCTCGAGCGAAACAAGTCAACTCCAATTCCTGACAAACTGAGCGGTAAGGATCAAACAGGAGAAGTGATTCTTGATACAGGAGCGTCACACCACATGACTGGTGATGTAACGTTGCTCACCGAACTGCAGGATATTGTTCAATGTCCTGTAAATTTTGCAGATGGAAACCATGTCATGGCTAAAAAGAGTGGTTTGTTAAGCTTATCAGAAAAAATAACGCTGCAGCATGTGCTCTTTGTGCCTAATCTAAACTGCACATTGTTGTCCGTGGCTAAGTTGTTGAAGCAAGTTGGTTGCTTTGCTCTTTTTACTGATACACTTTGCGTGTTGCAGGACCGTTTTACGAGGACCCTGATTGGAGCTGGTGAAGAACGGGATGGAGTTTACGTTTATCGGGATGTGACACCAAAGAGAGGATACAGAGTTAAAGCTTCTGAAGACCAGACTCTGTGGCATTGGCGGTTGGGACATCCTGCGCATGGTGTTTTAGGATTTTTACCTTTTGTTGTTGGTGTTAAACAAATCCCCGACAAGTTCGGTGGATGTGAAATTTGTTTCAAATCAAAGCAGACCCGTGAGGTGTTCTGTGAAAGTTCTAATAAAACTTCAGCTCCTTTTGAATTAATTCACGTTGATCTTTGGGGTCCGTACCGAGTTCCTTCATCGTGTGGTGCAACCTATTTTCTCACCATAGTAGATGACTTCTCTAGAGCAGTCTGGATACACTTGCTTCTCGAGAAGAATGAAGTCAAAACCATTCTCCCTAATTTTTGCAAATTAGTCCAACTGCAATTCGGACAGCCCGTAAAAGCTGTACGTAGCGACAATGGCACAGAGTTCATGTGCTTGTCCAAGTATTTTGCAGAGAATGGAATCGTACACCAGACATCCTGTGTGGCTACCCCACAGCAGAATGGCAGAGTAGAGAGAAAGCATAGGCACATACTTAATGTCTCTCGATCTCTCTTGTTTCAGGCAAGCCTTCTGATCAAATTTTGGGGAGAAAGTGTGCTTGCAGCAGCACACTTAATCAATCGCACACCATCTGCTGTGCTCCACGGAAAGACTCCCTATGAATACTTGTATGGAAAGGCACCAATGTACGATGACGTCAAGACATTCGGGTGTTTAGCTTTTGCTCACAAGATGTCTCGTGACAAAGATAAGTTCAAAGAGCGGAGTCGTTGATGTGTCTTCGTGGGTTACCCTTTTGCAAAGAAAGGATGGAAACTGTATGACCTGGATACAAATGAGTTCTTTGTTTCCAGAGATGTGGTGTTTGATGAAGAGAACTACCCATTTCAGACAACTGTGATCGAAAAGTGTGTGTCTGCAGAGATGCCACATGTAACGCTGAAACACATTGATGATCTTGACGAGCCTGTTTGCACAGTGGAAAACAGGGGAAGTGTATCTGTTTCTGAATTAGCAACACAACAAGATGAGTTTTCACCTGCAAAACTTGCTACAGAATCATCAAATGCACAAGCAGAACCGGATGAAGAAACGATCACACAAGACAATGCATCTGCAGAACCTGCAGAACCTGCAGCAGACTTTGCAACTGAGCAAAACAATGTTGCTACGACAACTTCCTCTGATTCTCTCGGTAGAGGACAGCGTGAGACAAAGCTCCCTGAAAAACTCAGAGATTATGTCGTGTACAACTCCCAAAGTCACCCCGATAAAACGTCTCGTCCTGTTCTTCCCAGCAACCCTCAGGTGTCTTCTGCAAAGGTCCAAGGTAAGACGCTTTATCCCATCGATAGCTATGTCTGTGATGCTTTGTTCTCAGAAAAACATCAAGTGTTCCTTGCTGCTATCACTGCTGGTGTAGAGCCACGCAGCTACAAGGAGGCAATGTTGGATCCTAGATGGAACAATGCCATGTCAACAGAGGTTGGATCACTCGTTGAACAAAGAACGTGGGATTTGGAGAATTTGCCTGAAAGAAAAAAAGCACTCGGAAGCAAATAGATTTTCAAACTCAAATTCAATGCCGATGGGACAGTGGAAAGATATAAAGCAAGGCTCGTGTGCCTTGGTAATAATCAAGTTGAAGGAGAGGATTATGACGAGACATTCGCACCTGTCGCGAAAATGACTACTGTGCGTACATTACTTGAAGTGGCTGTTGCAAAAGACTGGGAAGTCCATCAAATGGATGTACAGAATGCATTCTTACATGGCGATTTAGAAGAAGAGGTGTACATGAAATTGCCTCCCGGATTCCACACTGATGATCCGACCAAGGTGTGTCGCTTGAGGAAGTCGCTGTATGGCTTGAAGCAGGCTCCAAGGTGTTGGTTTGCCAAGTTGACAACTGCTCTCAAAGATTTTGGTTTCAAGCAGTCTTATTCTGATTACTCTCTTTTCACCTACATAAAAGGAGATAAGAGTTTGAGAGTACTTATTTATGTCGATGATTTAGTGGTTGCGGGTAATAACCTTGAGATGTTGACAAAATTCAAGGCTCACTTGAGTGATTGTTTCAAAATGAAGGATCTTGGCAAGCTCAAATACTTTCTGGGAATCGAGATTGCCAGAGGATCAAAGGGGATGTTTCTCTCGCAAAGAAAATATGCCTTGGATATAATTGCAGAAGCTGGATTGTTGGGTTGTAAGCCAGTGGTGACACCAATGGAACAAAATCACAAGCTTCTTTCAGACCAGAGTCCACTTTACAAAGATCCAGTTCGGTTCAGAAGGTTTGTTGGGAAACTTGTGTATTTGGCCATCACTCGACCAGAATTGTGTTATGCTGTTCATGTGCTGTCGCAAGTGATGCATGAACCGAGAGAAGCACATTGGGATGCTGTTGTTCGAGTTATACGGTATTTGAAGGGGTGTCCTGGACAGAGAATCATGTTAAAAAAAGACAGTGATTTGCGCATACGAGCATTTTGTGACTCCGATTGGGCCTCGTGTCCTCTAACGCGCCGGTTGTTGTCTGCATACATTGTTCAACTAGGAACGTCTCCTATCTCGTGGAAAACAAAGAAGCAGGACACAGTCTTGCATTCATCAGCAGAAGCAGAGTACAGGGCTATGGCAGCTGCTTTGCGTGAGCTCAAGTGGTTGAAGAGACTGTTGAATGATCTTGGTGTCGAGCATGATGAACCGATGGAATTGTACTGTGACAGCAAGTCGGCGCTGTATATCGCAGCTAATCCTGTGTTTCATGAGAGAACCAAGCACATTGAATCTGATTGTCACAGCGTACGAGATGCAGTCCAAAATCGCCTCATTATCACTAAACACGTACAAACAACGGAGCAGCTAGCTGACATAATGACGAAAGCACTAGGAAGCTCAGCGTTTGGATATTTGCTATCCAAGTTAGGCGTTGATGATTTGCATGCTCTAACTTGAGGGAGAGTGTTAGTGAGAGTATATTAGTATATTCCATAGACTCGAGATAACTACAAATATATTGTGATAAAGACTCGAATATATGTTTAGATATTCTTGTGTATAGGTGCAAATCTATCTGTAAACACGTATATATAGTCGGCAAAGGAGATCAATACAGCAACCTTTTCCCAATACCTTATTCTCTAAGTTTACACCTTCCCTACAAGTCGGCGATTGGTTTCATCGTTACGGTTTCTCGTCACCTAGGGCGTGAATTGATTCTGCTTCCAATTTGAAATCTTCATCTGGGCTTTCATGTTATTCTAAATTTGGGCTTTTAGGGGCTTCTTTTTAGTTTGGTTTTGGTTCTCTTTTCATTTAGTGGATCTTAACTAAAGTTGGCTTATTGTAAAAACTATGGCAAGCACTTTTGCTTCTTTAAAATTAATACAGTATACTGTATTAAGAAAAAAAAGAAAAACAACTAGAGTTAAAACTATTTTAAAAAATCTGATCTTTTAACGACATACGGCTATTATTATAAATATTTTGTAAAGTATATTGGAAAGGGTCATATATCAGATTCTAGTCTTTCTTTTTAAACAAATAACAAATATTCAAATACAAGAACTCAGCTCAGGTACAAAGAAAAATTCGCTCAATCATTGCCAGTCACTTTCCCATTCATTTTTATGCGAGTCACCATCATTCGTCGTAAGTTCTTAATTATTTGATCTTCTCATTTCATTCAACCTCATTTTTGTTCGAGTCACTTTCCCATTCATTTTTTCCAGTCACCATCATTTATCTTATTCAGTCGTTTTTTCGAGTGGATCAAAACGGCCTTTTTTTTTTATCACCCCTCAAAAATATACATTAGAGAAAGTAGATAACATAATAATGTTGAATTTCTATTTTCCAAACTACAAAACAACGGCTATTCAAATGTTTTATTTTCGGCTATTCAGATGTTGTGACTTGTGACTGAGTTTTTCATCTTAAGAGAATCATTGTGAGTCACTTTCCCATTCATTTTTCTTTTGGGTTGTACGTACATTGCAAAGTTTGGGGAAAACATTGCAAAGTTTGTCACTAATTTTCTAAGTGTGAAAAACGTCTACATGGTTCAATAAAACTAATTGTTCAAAGTTTTGGAATGGGAATCATATATCCTTCCAGATAATGAACCATAACATATAATATGGTAATTTTCTAACCGCAACTTGAATTCGTGATATTCAGATTCAAAAACTCCTAACTTAACCCTTTTTATAATAAAAAAAAAACTCCTAACTCGACCAAATCTGATGTTGATGTTTCGTAGAAACCCTTTAGTCATCAAAAACCCAACAGTCAACAAAACTGCTATTCCCATATAAACAAATACATCTTTATCAAAACAGAAAAGGAAAGAAATAGTTTGTCTGCATTCGATTCCATAGACCTCTCTTTGCATCATTTGTTTCCTTCATTGATGAGAGCTATGTTGGATCCCACTCAGTGATACCAACCCAGATCCTTTTCGCTTAATTAGGAATATTAAACAAATAATGACTGTACAATAAAATAAACAAAGTTCTTCTCTTTTCTTTTTTAGAACAAGAAAACTAAACACATTCATTCGAAAGTCGAACCACTAATAAATAGGTGTTTTAGCAGAAAACCCCTAATAAATCAACTAATACAAATAATTTGATGGGTGATTAATAATTGAGCGTTTCATCATTCATCTTATTCATGTTTGTGTACTCATCTGATATTTCCATCTAAATGATCTATTTAAATGTTCCATCTAAATGCTCTATTTAAATGTTGTTTTGTATATTTAATTGTTCATTTTAATGATCCATTTAAATGTAACCTTGTTAGTTTGTTTAGTTGATTCTATATTTACATCTTCATCAAAATATTTTTTTTAATAAAATGACTAAAATTTATATATTTTAATTTAATTATACTTTTCACAATTTCACAATTGATAACACAGCTTCACAATTTTTGCAAGCAAATGCAACGATTTTCAGGGAGAAACAATAATTTATTATTTTTGACAGAAAAATGAATCTCGGTTTTGAAGAGAAAATACGATTTTCTATTTTGGCTAGGAAAAAAATTTCAATTTGGTAGAACAAATATAATTTTTCCGTTTTGATAGGAAAATGAATTTTCTTGATTTTGATAAGGAAATGTGATTTTTTCAGTTTTTGGCGGAAAAATAAAAACTTGGTTTTGGTGGAAAAAGCGATTTTTTAGTTTTGATGGGAATACGAAATTTTTTGTTTTGATGGGAAGATGAAATTTCTTGCTTATGACAAGAAAATGAAATGACTTGGTTTTGATGGGGAAATGTTATTTTTCGGTTTTGGCGGAAAAACATGATTTATCTGATTAGCAGAAAAATGTCATTTCCTTATCCTCGCAAAATATGTGATTTTCCAAGTTTGGTGAGAAAATAAATTTCTCGTTTTTGATAGAAAAATGCGATTTCTAAGTTTTTATGTGAAAATACAATTTTCAAGTTTTACTAAAAAAACATAATTTTGTGGCTTTGTGAGACAACATAATTTTATGATTTTCTCGGTTTTGGTGAAAAATATAATTTAATACTAGTTTTTTTTAAAGTTTAAGACTATTTCAATCATTTGTGATTTTGAACTGAATCATCTCTATCTAAATTGTCCAATTTGGTTTATCCATATGATTCTCATAAATTTGGCTAATTTTGAAAAATTATCGAGATGATTCACCTGATTTTTTTGATTTTATTACAAAATAAACAAACTTCTCAGCTTTATTCAAATGAACCATCTTGATAGAGAAACAAATGATGATCCAGATGATTTTTTGGGTGGATAAAGATGAACTTTGAGAGAAAAACAAATTTTCTCGATTTTGACGAGAAATTTTGATTTTTTGGTTTTGATGGAAAATGTGATTTCTCAGTTTTGACAAGAAAATACAAATTCTGGATTTTTACGTAAAATCAAAATTTCTCTATTTTAGTTAAAAAATACAATTTATCGGTTTTGATAGAAATACAAATTTTTTGGTTTTGACGGAAATATAAAATTTAAAATTTCTCTTTTTTTACGAAAAATATGATTTCTTGGTTTTAACTATAAAATGCAATTTCTCGGGTTTGACAGAAAATGCTATTTTTTTATCTTGACGTGAAATTGTGATATTGGTGGGAAAATGAAACATTTTAGTTTTGACGGAAAATAATATTTTTCAATTTGATGCAAAAATACAATTTGACGATTTTGGTAGAGAAACGCGATTTTACGGTTTTAACGAGAAAATATAATTTTTAGTTTTGACGGAAAAACACGATTCATCAATTTTACTAAAAATATGATTTTATCAGTTTGGAGAAAAAATATATTTACAGGTTTTGCTAAAAAAATATAATTTTGTAATTTTATCAAAAAATATGATTTTGTCGATTTTGGTGAAAAATGTAATTTAATGAGATTTTTAGTTTGTCATATCGTGTGAAATAGCTTGTTATACCAATTATCATATCATTAAAAATATGAAATTGTCATTTGAAACCAATTATCATATTTTAACGTCATTGATATATTATTTTTCTTTATATCCGTAACTTTATTATTGATCAACTTACAATGTTATATATTAACATTATTGTTGTCATTATCGTTACCAATATTAATGTTATCTTGATTTGAATTACCATCATCTACCAATGTTATTGTTATTACCATTGCAATTGATATCTTTGTTCTCATAGTTACCGTTATTATCATTGCGATCGATATTTTTATTACCATAGTTACCGTTATTACTATTGTTGTTAGTTTTGCTATAACAACACCGTTAACACTATCACATTGTTGTTAATATTGTTGTCGTTTTCTTTTATATGCTTTTATTTGTCTGTCTTTTTTTCTTTCTTATTATTCTTCTCCACTTTTTTTTAATCATATGTAATGTTTAAAAAAATGTTATTAAATTGTAAAATTAGAGGTGTAAAAAGATTTTTTTAATATGAATAAAAACATATAAATAGTACACATGAGAGAACTAATTTTAATATTATTGTTACCCATTCATTAGTATTGCTCTTAAATATTCATAAGGAAAGATACGTGGCATACATGTTTAGACTAAGTAGTGAACTAGTGATTATTGAGCAAGCACACAATAACAGTTTACTTATTAATTACTACGCCAGCTTAATGCCACGGGGCTTCGAACCACGTGGCTTCCATCGGACCATTCAATCCTCGCAAAGCTATTGGTTCCCGCAAGCATGGACGGATTGACTCTGAAAGTCACCGTATAAGATTTTACCTCGTTGACTTTCTTGAAAGAGAGAACCGCCGGTTCGACCGAAATGTTGACCGCTATTTTATCAAAAGCACATTGGACCGTATACGTACCGGCCCCGCCGACGCTCGTTACGCTGCGCGTGTGTTTGTACGCTTCGCCTCCACCTTGTGAGACTATGACGGCGAAGGACGGATAATTGAGATCGGAGAGTTTGTAACTCTTCTTCGGATCGCAGCTGAAATCTCGTCTCGCGATGATCTTGATTTGGGATGACGTGTAATTGGACGCGCATAAAAAATTCAGATAATCCTCCGCCGTCAGATCGTAGATAAGCCCTGGGCTGAGTGCGGGTATAGGGGACACGTGTCCGGCACCGTGTGCGAACGGCGTCGATGGTCTACGATTCGCGCTGTCGATGATGGGCTTGCCGTCGTTGCCGGATATGTTGGCTGTCGTCATAAGGGTTGAGCGAATCGCCGCGGGGCTCCACTCGGGATGCGCTGCCGTGAGAAGCGCCGCCAAACCGCTCACGTGAGGACACGCCATCGACGTTCCCGATTATATTTGAAACTGCGATTCGGTATCGGTACCGGGTCCAGTTGCTCCGGTCCATGCCGCAAGAATGTTGACACCTGGTGCGATCATATCCGGTTTGAGAATCTCCGGCGTGATGGAACTTTGTGATAATCCAGCGGGCCTAACCCGAGAGAGAGATGGACAAGACGTTGACGCTGTCTTCGATCGCCTTGTCCATTGCCGCTAGAATATCCGAGCTCAAGCAGTACCCGTCACCCCAGCAAGCTTTGTAGATCGCGACCCGACTTCGAGGAGCCATTCCTCGAGCAACTCCGGAGGCGTATCCCAGACACGATGCTCCTTTCACCGCCGACCCAGCTGCGATCGAGGAAGTGTGTGTTCCATGGCCAGAGAAGTCTCTAGGAGATCTGAAGTCCGTTGATTCGTCGAGTGGACCATTCTTTGCCTCGAAACCCTTCAAGAAGTATCTGGCGCCGATGAGTTTGTTGTTGCAGAGAGACGCCGTGAAGTTCGTGCCGGTTTTGCACTCCCCTTTCCAGTTTCTCGGCGGCGGACCGAGTCCCATGTCGTTGAAGCTTCTTCTCTCTGGCCAAACTCCACCGTCTATAACGCCGATGACGACGTCGCTGGTAGACACGTTGATCGGGAAATGATCGTCAAGGCCGAGGAAGAGCGGACTCCTCGTCGTCTGCAGCTTGTAGCAGATCTCGGGTGCGACCAACGCCACTCCCGGTTAAAGGATGAGAGCTTCAACCTCTTCCGCACTCAGACTAGCAACAAATCCTTCCAAGGCGTTGCTGTATGAGTAGACGATCTTGGCTGAGCTGGAGATGGCTTGAATGGAAGCTTGATACCACTGAGATCTGTTCTCAAAGGCCATTGTCATATGAATCTGATTCATATGCACAATGTAGGTGTTTCTTCCCGACGCTGAGAAGAGTTCGAGAAGGAAGAAACAGAAAAGTGGAAGAAACATGACGAGAAGCTTAGAAATTTGATATTTGGAAGAAAAAACAGGGGAGGATAAAACAGGGGAAGAGATGCCAATTTATTAACAAATGTTCAGGTCGATTTTATAATGCAAGGAGAAGAAGATGTGGTTAGGTTTAATATTTTCTATGGTTTATACTTTATATATTTATTTATTATTAGTATGACAATTATAGTGATCATGGGAAGATGGTTGTGCTGTTTTGGTTTCTTCTTAGAGCTCGACAGTTCAAACCGCAGCGCTTACTAGCAGTTGAAAACTTTTCCAAAATTTTATAAACTCCACTTTTGAAATATTTTTCTTGAAATAATTCTATCAACAGTAGATTTGAGAATACTTTTTTGAATCACTTATTTGATAAAACTAGATTTTAAGGGGCATATTAGATTGATGATTTCATTTGTTTTTCTAGTTTTCCTCTTATTGAATATAGTATTTGTAAAAATTATTCAAAATCTAAAGTTCTTATAATTAGTCATTTATACAAATTCTTTAAAATGTAGTCTTATAGGAATATTAGGATTCTATAGGAAAATTAGTAAATCCCGTCTCCTTATAACTTCATTCAACGATCTTCTCAACTCTCTCCTATGATTATTTCATTTCATGGAGTAGAACGACTTAGCGTTTTCCTATTGAAACCGATAGATTCATGATTAGTTCTTTGTTTGGTGAGATTTTATCCATCTATATCGCTCAGAGTGAACGATAATAATAACAGAGTTTGCAGAAGTGTGTGTTATTCATGGCTCTCGGCCTAAATATATACTTACATGAGAGTTTAACCTAACAATTAAGAAAGGTAATTACAAGAGAAAAAGGCAATTCTATAAATATACAATATGAATATAGAATATGTGAATATCTTTCCAATACTCCCCCTTAAGTTGGAGCATGCAGATTACAAATGCCCAACTTGATAAGAAGATTTTCAAACTGAGCACGAACAAGAGGTTTCGTAAGGACATCGGCAGGCTGTTGACGTGTGGAGATATGTATGGGAAGAATTTGATAATCGACAACAGCATCACATACGAAGTGACAATCACGCTCAATATGCTTTGTTCGTTGATGTTGGACAGGATTTGATGCAAGATGAATCGCTGATTGACTGTCACAGAAGATACGAACAGGAGACATATAAGACGCACCGAAGAAAGAAAGAAGCTCTCGCAGCCATTTGAGTTCTCTTGTAGCATCAGCCATGCTTCGATATTCAGCCTCGGCTGAAGATAGTGAGACAATGTTTTGTTTCTCTGTTTTCCAGCTAATATACGAGCCTCCAAGAAGAAACGTATAACCTGATAAGGAGCGTCGTGTTGTCGGACACGCCGCCCAATCCGAGTCGCAATAACCATCCAAATATAAATTTGTGCCAGCTGAGAGAAGAATCTCCTGTCCTGGTGATCCCTTAAGATAACACACAGCGTGCATTGCAGCTTCCCAGTGAGAGGTGCGAGGCTGTTGCATAAACTGAGATAAAATATGCACCGTGTATGCAAGCTCAGAACGAGTGATAGATAAATAAATCAGCTTTCCAATAACTCGACGATACTGTGCGGAATCCGAGTAAATATCATCATTGGCAGTACTAAGATGATGATTTAACTCAATGGGAGTAGGTGCTGGCTTAGCACCAAGGAGACCACACTCTGAAACGATGTCAAGACAATATTTTCGTTGACACAAGAAGATACCATCAGCATGACGTGCAATTTCAATGCCCAAAAAATATCGTGGGGCTCCTAAATCTTTCATATGAAAACACTTATGCAAGTAGTCTTTGAATGCTGAAATCGTAGAAGCATCGTTTCCTCCAATGATTAAGTCGTCCACATAGACAATAACATAGAGATCAATACCGTTCTTGATCAAGGAAAACCACGAGTAGTCATTATGGGACTGAGTGAAACCGTATTCGAGAAGGGCTGTTCTAAATGTAGAGAACCAGCACCGAGGTGATTGACGTAAACCATAGATCGATTTCTTGAGCTTGCAGACTTTATGAGGAGAGTCTGAATAAAATCCCGGTGGAAGGCGCATATATACTTCTTCCTCCAAAGTCCCGTGGAGAAACGCATTATGAACATCCATTTGATGTAATTCTCACTTTCGGACAGCGGCGATTTTAAAGAAACAGCGAACTGTCGTCATCTTTGAAACCGGTGCAAAGGTTTCCTTGAAATCAATGCCCTCCTTTTGACAATTACCAAGAGCAACGAGTCTCGCCTTATATTTCTCAACTGTTCCATCCGCTTTGTATTTGATACGAAATACCCATTTGCTATCAATAGCTTTCTTGCCCGGAGGAAGATCAACGATGTCCCAAGAATCAAGATCTTCCAAAGATGTAATTTCTAGTCCTATTGCATTACACCACTTCTTGAATTTCATGGCTTCAGAAAAAGTTGCTGGCTCACTTTCATTCATGAGATTCGCCAAAAAACACCTATACTCTTCTGAGAAACGAGCGCATGAAACATAATTAGCAATAGGATAAAAAGTACCTTGAGGACCGTGAGGGGATTTGGAGCGTTTGAGTGTGAGTGTGAGAGTGTGTGTGATCTTGGACAGATTTTGTTGAATACACGTGATACGGTGCAAGAAGAACAGATTTAATCTTGTCACGTTGACCTCTTCCCAATTGAGGTGCCGGTTGAACAGCTTCTGGAGAAGATAATGAACTTAGAGATATGGGAGCTGGTGAAGCTTCGTTAGTGACTGGAGAAGATAAGTCTGGCATAGGTAAAGGGGAGAAAGAACTTGTGCTCCCCCTTGACGATGATACTGGTGTATGAACCACATTTTCAACTTCAACAGAAGAAGGCTGATGATCTGAGCTCCCCTTTAACAACAAAACCGGTGCTTGTGGAGCAGAGTCATCAACAATAATTTGCTCCTTAAACGTCTGCATAGGAGGGACGGATGGAGATAAATCCTCAAAAGGAAATAAATCTTCATTAAAAACCACGTCACGGGTGACAAATTACTCCTTTCGATCAAGATCATACACACGCCATCCTTTTTTATTGTAGGGATATCCAATAAATGCACAACGTGTAGCCCGCTCATCAAATTTATCACGATGCCTTGTACCTTTGTGAGCATAGCAAAGGCAGCCAAATATGCGCAGGTGATCATATGTAGGCGGTTTGTTGAAAAGCATTTCAAACGGTGTTTTGCCTTCTAAAACTCGGGATGGTGTTCGATTCATCAAGTAACACGCCGTAAGTACACAATCACCCCAAAATTCAAGTGGCAAAGAAGCTTGAAAGCGCAGTGATCGAGCTACATTAAGAATGTGTCTGTGTTTCCGTTCCACCCGACAATGCCTTGAGATGTGAAGAATTGCTTCAAACACATGAATTCGGTTCCGTTGTCACTACGTTTAACTTGTACTTGTTGACCAAACTGCCGTTCCGTCATGGTGCAGAAATTCTGTAAGTGATTTGCGACTTCACTCTTGAACTTCATCAAAAATACCCATACTGCACGTGAATAATCATCAACTACGGTAAGAAAGTATACGGAACCGCACAAAGCTGATGTATTGTAAGGTCCCCAAACATCACAGTGGATAAGAGAAAAAATCCTTACTGCTTTATTATCACTATCCGGAAAAGAAAAACGAGGTTGTTTAGCTCGTATACAAATGTCGCATAGAGCACTCGGTTTAGAACTAACATCTCCTAAATCAACATAACTGGGTAAACTAGAAAGCACATAATCAGCAGCAGGATGACCAAGACGTTTATGCCATAACTCACGACCACGAACGGGACCAACAGCATTAGCACGAGCTCCAAAAGCTTCCCGAAAGTAGTAGATCCCATCACACTCTTCACCCACTCCAATCATTATCTTCGTTGTACGGTCCTGCAAATAACAGGACTTGTCAGTGAAGACTGCGATGCATGATTTTTCTTTCAGAAATTTGCCAACTGATAATAACGTATTTGTTAAGTATGGAACATAGAAAACAGATGACAAAACAACAGTTCCTCCGAGACTGATTTTTCCTCGCTGTGTGGCAAGAATAACATCACCATTTGGCAAACCGATGGGACATGGGAAGATATGAGACACATCAAATAATAGATTCAGTGAACCTGTACGGTGATGAGAAGCACCCGTATCAATAACCATACCATATAAACGATCGGAGGAACCTGATTTTGGAGTGTTGAGGAGGTGAACGAGATTGTTTCATTGCTCCTTGTTCAAGGTCAGCCCTTTGCCCATCTTCATTCGAAATGACATGTTGTGTTCCTGAGGAATCTCCATTTGTAAACCCAACATTATTAGCAGAACCTCTGCCACCACGTCCTCCGGTTTGAGAGCCATTATTCCAGCCACCACCACGTCCACGGTTAGAAGCACCACTTGAGTTTCCACGACCCATATTGTTGTTGGAACCATCGGTCTTGTTTTCAGGGAATCCATGCAACTGATAACAATCCTTCATGAGATGTCCGATGCGACTACAATAGTCACAAGTCACTGTTGACCGTGGACGGTTTGTTGATGATGTCGTCGAAGGACCCTGAGCTGAGAACCCCACTGCATCAGGTCTCGCAACTGGAACGGCAGCAACTCGTTGATGTCACTCTTCTTGTATAACCATTGAGAACGCTGTATTTAAGGAGGGAGACGACACCATGCAGAGAATGTTTGAACGAATCGGTCCAAAACGTACAGTATCGAGTCTGAACAAAAACTCATTACGCTGGATTCGCTCCCTTTTTGCTATTTGGTCTTTGTTAACCTTGCATTCAGAATTTTCACAACAACACTCTGTGATTTGTTCGTACTCCATCAAATCATCCCACATAAGCTTTAATTTTCCAAAGTAATCTTGTACTGATTGATTTCCTTGTTTGAGTGAAACAACACTAGCATGAAGTTCATAGATCCTTGGTTCGTTGTCTACGGAGAACCGTTCACGCAAACCTTCCCAAAGCTGAAACGCCGTTTCTGTGCAAGAAATCGTACCTCTTATCTTCTCGTTAATAGTGTTCAGTATCCAAGCTACGAGCATAGAATTGATCATACCCCATAACTTCAGTTCATCGCCTCCACCGCAAGGTTTCTTAATCACACCATCGATGAAACCAAGTTTATTCTTTGCTTTGAGCGCGTTTCTCATCAATTTGGACTAACATTCATAATTGTTTTCGTTCAGAAGAACATAGCATATGACTTGTTCTGGATCTGCAGAAGGATGAAGATAAAAATCAGAGAGAATGTTACTCTCTTTAACCGTATCGGACGGACCCGTCATCTTCAAAGACGAATCAACAGAACCATCTTTTCCCGTCATGATTGGAGAAAAGAAAACAGAGAATCTTCACAAGCTCATGGCGAGATGTGTAATGAAAAAGAAGTGGAGAGCTCGTCGGTTCTCTTAGAGACAATGAAAGAGACAAAAAGAAAAAGAAGTATGGCTGCAGCAAGCAAATGATCGTTTTTGTTAAACCCTAATGCTCTGATACCATAACAGAGTTTGCAGAAGTGTGTGTTATTCATAGCTCTTGGCCTAAATATATACTTACATGAAAATTTAACCTGACGATTAAGAAAGGTAATTACAAGAGAAAAAGGCAATTCTATAAATGTACAATATGAATATAGAATATGTGAATATCTTTCCAATAAATAATATGCCTTATATTTATATTTTTTTGCTGTCCAATATATACAATTGATAAATCAGACACAAACCCAAATAATTGATGTTGCATGGAAAGTCATGACTTAATTTCTCAAAAAAAATCCTGCCTTGGAATAGGTGGGGAATTCTTGTAATTTTTGAAATTATTTAGTATTTATTTTTCAGTTTTTGGATATTTAATAGTTTTATTATTTAAAATCTTAATATTTTTTAATCTAAATAAAAAACAATGGTTCAAAATTTTAAAAAACAATGGTTCAATATGGTTATTGGTAGAGGAGGGATTTGTGTAAAGTTTATTAATTTCAAAATTTTCTTTAAGCTGAGTTCTGGTTCAAGAGACGAGAGTAATTAGTATATACGTCCGCAAAATGGCTCAAGATGGTTCGGCGTAGTGGATCTCAATGACAAGAAAGAGAATCTTCCCGGTTAAGTATTTGTTGTTTTTATTAAGATGGCAAAAAACTAAAGTATTGTTCGTAAGAGACCATCATGTGTGTATTAGCAACAATCATGAACCGTTGCAAAGACGAGAAAACAAAACAAGAATGAACAAGGATGCAAAAGCATGAAATAAATACAAGCCATGGAAATGCAAATCAGCATAATAATACGTAGTTGAATTATCACCTTGATGAATCCAATCTCCGTTTGGCATAGCTGTTGAAGCACTGCCTGCAGCAGTTCGGACCATACTCCCTAGTCAGAATCTTGACCGAGATGAAACATTAGCACATAAAGTTAAAGAAACACAGATTAAAGACATAATGCACAAGCATTGTGGTAACATTGCTAACCAATTCTTCTTAGTTGAACCATGTCTTCACATAGATCTCTGCCAGTGCTTCTTGAAATGTCCATTCCGGATAACGTTGCTTCATTTCTTCACCTCAGTTGCAAAATAGAAATCATCAACATGAGAATCATTCAAACACCATTAAGCAGGTCAAGGAGAAATCATGTAACTTTTCTCAGTTCTCACTGCAAGACTAAGCCATTCCAAAGATCTAGCTAACTTTCAAACAGGCAAAAGTAACTAGTAATATCCACAGGATTTGTTAGGGGACTAATCTCGATTTCTCAGAGAAGAAGATACTAAAACCTCACGGTGGAATAGCCATGAAACCGAGCAGCAGGAGCAACTCTCTTGTCCTCGCTGTGACTCTACCACCAACACCAGGTCCTGTTAGTTACTACAACAACTACTACTTCTCTCAGCCTCGTCACTTGTGCAAATCACCATGGGCGGTGGTTCCCGTAAAGCCTCAAAACGCTCCAGAGCTCTGCTTGATTGTTCCCCGGAAGACATTCTTCTATAAGTTCCAGAGCTTCGTCTAGTAACCCAGCTTTTGATATCAAACTCACCATGCAAGAGTAGTGCTTAAACCCTGTTTTGATTCCTTTTTCCTTCATTTGATTCCACAGGAACTTACCTTCCTCTGTTGATTTACGCAGTGAGTCATATCTGCCATTTTTGCAGAACATATGTCTACTAGGGCTCCGCATACCGACATGAAACGAAGAGTTGGACCGCAGACTCGCTGTATCCCACTCTAGATTATCTCAGTCCACAGAACAAGATCCCTCTCCGTGATCACACCAAACACCTTCTGAGCAGATTCAGCTTCCCCGTTCTTGGAGCAAAAAAACACTCCTTCCATATCCCAATTTACGAATATTTCTGGTTCCGCTGCCGCAGATATAACATTAGAGAAAGTCTATCCATCTGGCCGAGGTGTGGACCTCCACTGCAACCTCCTATACATAAGAATCGATTGCTCTGCAAAGCCGCCCGAAATAATCGAGTTCCATGAAACCAAATCCGGGTTATGAATCCTACCAAACACATATCCCCACAAGGCCACAACTGCAATACATGTCAAGAAGAGCATTTTCTACACGCAAATCAGCTGAACTATCCGAGAGACTATGGATTAGCTTCCCCAGTGAGTAACTTCCCAGCTTACTACAAGCATTCAGCACCATCGAATACGTGAACTGCGTTGGATCAACACCAGACATCAACATGCTTCTATAGAGCATAAGCCCTTCTTCTACCTTATCATTTCTCAAACTCCCAGCTATCATTGTGTTCCAGTCCCCAAAACCGATGTCTGGAGAAGTACATTATCTGAATATCCAAGGTTTATGATCTGTGGATGTAATGATGATCCCATCAAAACATCCTCGAGCAAAGCACATACCTGGACGCACTAAGCTGGTGAAACTCGAGCATACTGGTACTACGTTTCTCTGAGACATTTTGTCGAACACTTTCCGCGCTGAGCCGCACCTCACGCACATGGAGAGTAAAACGCTGCGTTTTTTTTAACAGACTCTCTTCCTATGATTTAAAACGGTGCGCATCGAACATCCCTTTTACAGTAAAACGGAGAGAACATTCTTCGGGGAAAATGGCTACCGGAGGTAAATTCTCTGACGAAGGAAATGGAGAAAGATCTGCTTCTTTCACTATCGCATGAACTTTTTTTTTTTGTCTCGGAAGCTCCAGTCTAATAATAAACGGCATTGAGCTTGATTTACTCTGAGAAAAATGGTATTGAGAGAAAATCAATCTTGGATTACCGAAATTGGCAGGGATGTGTCGTCGGTTCGATTACTATTGCTCGCAGCTACATTTGATTAACTTCTTGTTGCTTAGAGAGACTTGGGGCCGATCTTGTAAGTTCCTCGTGAACAATGTAGTAATTGCAGGTTTTTATTTTCTCCTTCAATTTGACCAAGACGGCGGAAATGAGACGGTTTATATTATTCTCATTTCTCAAGATGCCTAAACCGAATTCGAACCAAACCGAAATTCACCTTTAACCCGATCGGCTTTTATATTATTTTTATACAGAATCACTGACAATTGTGTAACCGAAAGAGTAAACCGGAAATTTGATTCGATTATAAATATATCAAAACCAGAATCGACAGACGAACCGACCCAAACCAAATATTCCATTGCCTGGCAAAGTCGTTGGTACTACTGTTCCGGTGACGAACAAATTTAATCTTCCGAATTTGCTTCAAGTATAAGAACAGCTTTGTAATCGTTAAGCGAATGAAGGGATGAGTGGAGTCGGAGGACCGTTGAAGCAAATGTTGCATCACCGGGAAATCGAGCGAAATCCTGAAAGTTCTTCAAAATTTGATCATGATTCCATCTCTGGACCATTGGATCTAACCCTACTCTTCAAGGTCAATCTTCTAGTTTGCAGCTTTACGATGAATCATTTGGATTCAATGGACTTTGTTATGTTCTTTACCAAGAATCTCTATCATTTGTTTTTTTTTTGGTAACTCAATCTCTATCATTTTTCATTCATCATAATGAATTGCATCTTGTGTCAAACATATTGTTTCATTGTTAGTTTGAATTTTATGCAACGTTCTCACTATGAGGGTTTTTGTGACTAAGGTGGGGTATTGGATTTAGAATCTGGATTGAATTGAAAGGAATAAAAGTTTCCATTAAATATCAGTGTTATTCAATGATATATTTTATCAATTCTTTTAAATACTTGTGTTATTGGATTAAGTGTTTTCATTAATTCTTTCAAAATCCTTTAAATATCATTGTTATTCAATACACTAATTTTTTAATTCTATTAAATATCTGTGTTATTCAATTTTGTAATAGTTTTGATTGTATTATCATTTGGAAGGAATTTAATAGAATCTCACCTAAAAATTGTTAAGAACCAATTCCTACCATTTATACTAGGATTTTGATAGAATTGGTTTAAATTCCTACAAAATACTTTAAATTACTTAAAAATTAATTATTTTTGAATTCTTGTACATTCTATCAAATTAAATCATCCAATACCACCCCCTAAAATCAAACTTCTTTAGAATCAAACATTATATATATTCTATATATCTTATATAATCGAATTGTTTGTTTACTTACATTGTAATATTGTATTAATACTAATCCGTAGCTGGACAATTTTTATCAGACCATCAATACTGTTAATCTCTAAGAGAGTACCTAAAATAATAATCTTATTATATAAAATTATATGAAATTCACAATAATTCACATGATAAATTAATCGATTAAATTTTGATACAAGTCGTGATAAAAATAAAATCAAATAGTACTTTTAAAGAAAAAATGAATTTAAAAAAATGAAAAGATAAATTTAAATTTAGATTATTAATCCTAAAAGAAAAATAAAAATACTTCAATTTTAGAAATATAAGCTAAACATCTAATCTTAAAAGAAAAAAGGAAAATACTATTCACATTTATATAAACATTTAAGATTTTTCATAATTTTCACCAAACCAAACAATATTAATACCCTTTTAAAAAATTCAAAACTATAAGAATTTTGTAAATTAAAAGATATGACAACAAAAATTATACAAAAAATTGAAAGTTTTCATTTGTTATGTTATTAGGTGTAGATTATAATTAACAATCAATTATGTTGTGTTTTTTTTAATTTATTAGATTTGAACTTACATTTTCTATTGCTTTATACTTATATTTTGCTTATATTTTACTTATGTTTTGTTTATATTTCGCCTATATTTTACATATATATTTTTTGTTTATCTTTTAAATTTTTGGAGAGATTATGTGATGCAGACGAGCATGTGAAAGCAGATCCAATTGAGAAAAATAAACATCTAGAGAGACAGAAAGTTTATTTATTTCCGTTTTAATTGTTCATTGTAGATTGAGTGTAAATTGAAAATGGAAAGCTTAGGGGTACAGGATCGTTCTCTTCTTTTTATTAAACTATCTTAAATAGATAATCCTCTATTTCTTTTCCCATATGCTTAAACAAATGATTATAGAGTTGACACTAACACGAGGTATTTACACACTGGCTTACAAAAATCAATCTATTAAGTGAAATCCACATACCCTTCAATCTTTTGTTAAAGTATTTTTGTTGATTTAAACGAAATCTAGAAAGCTTAAAAGCAAATCATAGAAAATCATCGATTTGATTACTTTTCCAAATGAACTTGATAGGTTTTAATACCAATAAAAATTCTACAAAAGTTTGAAAATAGAGATGCAAACACTCTCGGATCAGATAAACTTTTAGAGTTGTACATTAACATCACTTCTTTAAAGAAAACAACAACCTTGTCGGAGATAAATCTACTTCACATATTGTAATAGTAGACTCTGACTGTAGAAAATTTAAAAGCAAATCATATAAAATCACCGATTTGTTTACTTTTCCAAATGAACTTGATAGATTTTAATACCAATAAAAATTCTACAAAAGATTGAAAATAGAGATGCAAATACTCTCGGATCAGATAAACTTTTAGAGTTGTACATTAACATCACTTCTTTAAAGAACAACAACCTTACCAGAGATAAATCTACTTGAAATTTGTGATTGTAAGCTTTTGGCTATATAAATTTTTGTTTTAAAAATCGTGACTATTACTTTATATATTTTTGAAAGTATGATTGGTAATAAAAATTATAGAAACTGTGAGCGTTACTTTTAAATATTATAATTTTTAGAAAAATATTCTTTATTCTAAAAATAGTACCTATATTTTTATTTTATTATGAATGTAAATATGTAAAGTAAATAAATTTGTGTTTTTATTGATTTTTTTAATTGTAACACAAATAATTTTAAAAATTAAAAATATATATGGTAAATGATCTCAAAAGAAAGAGAAAAATGTATTAATAATTAATTAGTCAAACTAAAATTTGTATAAAATTTATATAATGTGAGAGAATGATTTAAATTTTTTGAAGGAAGAAAAAAGAAGAAAGAATTTATTATTTTATTTATTTGTGTTAGTTAAATCTAAAAGTAATAAATACTAAAACATAACGAAAAAGAAGAAGAAAGGAGAGAAAAAAAATGGTAAAGTGAAGAAAATGTGACTGTAGGAAAAACCAAAAAAAAAAGAAAAATTATAAAACCTTAAAAATGTGATTGGCTAGTTTTTTATTTTTAAAGCTATGAAACACCATTCGGTCTTGACAGTCAGTGTACCAATTTGACTGTGATTAGAGTATTTTCTAAAGTCTAATTTTTGACAAAAAAAATTAGAAAATCTGACTGTTAATTCTTTTTTAAAAAAATCAACCAAAATTTACTTCAAATATATGTGGTAATATATTTATGGAGATGAAATAAATTATAATGGTAAATTTGATATATATTGCTATGTTTAAAATTATTTTATATAAGGAAAATCATATTATTAATTGGCAAGCAAGTTGGGCTGTGGTTGAGAGTTATCATGGTTGATTACCATTTACCCCTCATGTAATTTGACTTAAAATACCCTTAATGAAATAATCGATTTTATAAAATCATTGGTTTAGTTGTTTAGATATGGTTCAAATTTTTAAAGGGTTTAACTACTTGGTTTTATTTAATTTTATCACGGTTTTGTCATATTGTTGATTATCATTATCAATTCGGTTTATCGAGATTATTGGTTAAGCTAGGTCAGCGAGTTAGTGATGAAACCTAAGTCGTTGGGAGGCTATATGTATATTTCTTTGTCTTGAAAATCAGAACCATGCAAACGTTGTTCGTAGAAAACCCTAGGCTCTCCAAAAGCTATATATGCTAACCAATTTTCTCATTCTTCTCATTCATTATGCACCGCTTAGTTTTAGATTTCCACCCTCTAGGTTATTGTTTACTCTGTTTTTTTTATTGCTACTAATCCTACATTGATCATAGTTTTGTCTTCTCGTGTTTTAACGTGTTTGTGCAGATCAGTTTATAATTATTGTCTGGAATTACTTGCGTGAAGAGCAATATCAACATCATCATGTTTGGTAAGTTTTTAGTGTGTATATTATTTTGTTGCGTTTATTTATATTAGATTTCAAGTTTAATAAATCTATTGAAGCTGAGGTGAAAATTCATGGGATTTCTTAAGGCTGGTGGTTTGGCACGTTAAAGCGTGCATATTTGGTTTTGTGTTTTGTTCCTACGACAACTTCACTGGTCCTTACTGATTTTGCGATCGCTTCACCTATAAAAAAAATTAGTTTTGTATGTTGGCTTTTTTTCTTAAAAGATAACAAACTTTTTTATTCTTTTTTCTTTTGTTCATTGGCCGCTGTTTTCTAACAATGACGTTAAATTTAGTTTCAATGCTGCAACAAGTACGATGGTTTAATGACTGCAGGAATCATTGATCCAAAAACGTTAGTTTTCTTTCATACAAGTACAATGAACATGATTGTAATAGTTTTGCAATAGTTAAGAGTAAGTACAATGGTTTTTAACAATAGCGTGTGAACTGAATTTTGGAATCAATCATGAAACCGTAGATTGCGAACACATAAATAGCTAATAAGGTCTAGATCAAACTTTGATTATCATAATAACTTGGTTAACAACAAAAATCAATGAGATTTGTTTTGGAGATTGATTTGATTCATAATCTTTAGATCCTGGAACAGTTTGTTATTCTCATATTCTGGTTCTTCTGCGGCTAACTGCATAGAAGAAAAATAAAGATGAAAAGATGAGGAGGTTGGAGAGATGATGAAAACGGAAA